TCCCTCAGCCCCAGCCAGGCCCTTGGTCCCCTAAGTTGGCAGGGGCCAGCCCAGGGTCTGGGGATGTTTGATTCCCACCAGCCAGTGGGACCACCCTGACCAAGGGGGCAAACCTGGGTGCCCCAGAGCACTCAGGGTGGCAGGGCACTGTTCCTCAGCTGACACAGCCCCAGACACCTCCCCCAGGGCTCGGCCACACTGGGGGGGGGGGCATTTGCAAGGTGCCGAGGTGCCAGCGATCACTCTGGGACCCCATGCAGCCATCAACCCAGGCCTTGGCTCATTAATGCCTTCCGACCCTGAGCATCTCGTTACCTTTTGTGGCCCCGGCAGCCCCCAGATGATAAATGGCTCCCAGAATGAGCCATAAGGCTTTCTGCTCATCGCCGGAGATGCCCATCACCTTCATGGCAGCCTGGAGCTTGTTGAACTGCTGCATTGCCTTCTGCTTTTCCTCTGGCTGCAGAAAGCAATGGAAGCCATCAGTGTAGGAGCCTGGCTCTGCCTCCCCCTGCACCTGAATGGGCCAGGGAACCTCGTCCCCCTCCGCAGCCCCATAGCAGCAACCTTGGAGAGGGGCACAATGCCAAAAACGTTGTTCTCTGCCAGGTGGTTGAAGTAAAGCTCAGTCCTGCAGGGATAAACACCGAGATTGGCCTCACATGGGAGGCTCCAGAGACCACGCCCCAGGCCAGAGGCCGAGCCCTTGCCCACCCCAGCTCACCGTAGGGCGCTGTCAGAGCAGGCCAGCAGGTAGTAGAAGATGTTGAAGGTGGCCTCGTTGGGCGGGCGCTTGGCGACACGCAGCTTCTCCAGCAACAGCGTCTGGTGGAGGTGGGAGGGTTGGGAACCATTCCCCAAGGGCCCCACTCCCACCGAGACACCAACCCCACCCACCCCAGCCTCATCCTTGCTGCCTGCCCAGGGTCACCGAGGAAATGTGAGGGTCTCCTGCCCACCGCAGGGCATCATATGAATGTAAACATCATCCAAGCAACCTGTGAGCATCTCCTCTCCTGGGGTGCCTGCTACTACAGGAGCACGAAGCAGCTCTCTAGAATTTTAAGGGCTCTGCTGTTATCACACTGGGGCAGCATCTGGAACAAACACACCCTAATATCGGGGCTAACTCAGCAAGGACAGGGAGTCGATCTAATCTGCACACATCTGGGTGTGAAGAAAGATGAGAGCAGGATGCCTGGATGCTAAGTGCTGCGAGCACAGCCGGCAGCCAGCAGGGGTCTGCAGCAGAGCTCGTGGGCTAATGTGTGGCCAGGCTGCTGGGAGGAAACACCCCAGCGGGGATGGGCTGGCTCCCATGCCAAGGGGAGCCGCCCCGGTAAGGATGGGCCAGCTCCCATGCCGAGGGGGGCCACCCCGGCCCCCTCACCTGTATGGAGGCAGATGCCACCTGCCCCGCCTGGTCGAAGTCCAGAGAGATGATCTGAGAGAAGCGGGTGGCGTTGCCGTTCATGCTGGTGCTGCTATTGCCAAAAGCCTCCAGGATGGTGTAGAGAGCCTGCCACTTCTCCGCTGCAGGAAGAGAAGCAGGGCGGTGGGGTGCAGGGGCTGTGCAATGGGCAGCCAAGGCCAGCACCACCGGCCAGGCAAGCGCTGCTGCTTCTGTGCCGTGCTCCATGCCGCGGCAGCCCTCAACAGCGCGGTAAAGGGACTGGCGTGAGAAAATGAAAGTGTGCCGTGTGGCATGTGTCTGGCTGCTGCCGGGTGTGGGAGGCTGCTGAGGGCTGTGATCGCAAAGCAAGGGGCTTGTGCAGGCAGCACGAGGACCCCACACCCTGCCGAGGACTCACCAGAGAAGACCTTGCCGGTGTTGCTGGCGATGGTGGCGAGGTACTGGACAAGGTGCTGGCAGTTGGTGGTTTTGCCACTGCCACTGGCGCCCAGCAGCACAACCGCCTGGTCCTGGCGGCTCATCAGCATGCTGCGGTAGGCGGCCTGGGCCACCGCATAGATGTGTGGGGACATGTCCTCCCTGCGGCATCCTTTGAACATGTGCATGACCTGGCAGGGAGGGCGGGAAGTGGGCGAGGGTCAGCACCCTGCCAACTCCACCAGCTCCCTCTGTGCGGTGGCACAGCTCCCAGTCCCCTCCAGTCCCCCCCGGCAGCAGGGTCACCTTCTCAGAGTACATGGATGGGGAGCTCAGGGGGTTGATGATGACCATGGTGGGACCGGCGTAGGTGTGCAGGAGGTTGCCGCCATAGCGCTGTCGCAGCGTGTGCAGCACACTAGACTCATTGAGGTAGAGGAGGCTGGCGACGTCCTCCACGCGGTCACAGGAGGGGGGGTTCGCCTGGCAGTGAGGTGGAAGGGTGTCAGGCAGGGAATGGGGGATCTGCCCCGCCATCCCCCACCTCACAGCCCTACCTTCTCCACGTCATCCTCCTCCACCTCCAGGACGGCTCCGTCGTGGTCCAGCTTCACCTTCACCTTGCCCTCAGGCAAGGGGCTGCTCTCCTCCGGCCGCAGCTGGCTGCCTGCAAGGGGCATGGGGCACTCAGTGGGGCCATGCCAGCAGTCCCCTGGGGACACCGTGGCCAGGCCAGGCAGGGCTCGCTGTGCCACAGGAAGGACAGGGCACCCCTTGTCCCAATGGTGCCAGGCTGACCCCCGACTCACCCAAGGAGAAGCCATCCCTGTGTACCAGCCACACCTTCTCAGTCTCATACCAGGCCTCCTCAGCCGCTATCTGCTCCTCCGTCTTGGCCTGTGGGACAGCAGGATGTGGGGAGGTCATGGTCACCTGTCTCCCATCTCATCCCCTCCCCACATCCCAGGGGCTGGAGGGAGCAGGGCTGCCTGGCCATGGGGCCATGTACCAGGCAGCCATAGCGACCCTCTGCAAGCCCCAAGCCCTCCCAGCACGTATCCCCAGCTTGCTCGCTGCCCCCAGGGATCCCAGTGGGCTCAGGCCTGCAGAGACTACCAGGGCCCTGCCACAGCTTGGGGCAGACATGAAGTCATAGTGTCCCGTGACAGCATTCACCACGGCCACCTTGGGCAAGCCTGGAGGAGCTGAGCTCCCAAACCGCAGCCCAGAGAGCGGGCACCCATGCCAGCCACGTGCTGGGATGCAGGGACACCGGGCATGCTGTGGGGACATGGGACATGCTGCAGGGACACAGGTCAGAGACACACTGTAGGGACACAGGACACGCTTCAGGGACATAATGGAGGGACAAAGGACATGGCACAGTAATGGCAGAGTACTGCGGCATGGGAAATGCCAGGCTGGTGCAGCCGGCACAACGGGGACGTCCCCACCACCCCGGAGCAGGGTAAGCCCCAAAGCCAAACCTGAGCTGCAGCAGGGACAGGGCCAAAGGGGGCTGCTGGGGCATCATCCGCTTGACCCTGGCGAGGCCGAGAGATGGGGAGTGAAGGCGAGAAGGGTTAATCTCTGCCCCGCAGAGAGCACAGAAAGTGGCAGGGGGAAGCGAGTGGGGGCAAAGTGCCACTGTGCCAAACCCTGTGGGCACTCCTGGTGAGGGCCACCGCTACAACCAGCGGAGTGACAGGTCCAGTGTGGCACTGGGGACACATGGAGCCAGGAAGGACATAGGCCACAAGGCCCTGCTGCCAAAGCCCCCAGGGTTGGGGGCCACCATGCTGACCCGCTGCAAGCCCGACCAGTGCTGCACGCCACAGCGGATCTGTCATGAGCCACGCATCCTGCCTGTGCTGGCTGCTCTGCCCCTTTCCGTCCTGCTCCACACCCCTGCCCACCCCAGCTGTGCCACCTCCACCGAGTGCACCCTCCCGGGATGCCCAGCTCCCTGGCACGGCCCTACTGAGGAGAGGCACACAGCCCTGTGGCCGCATGGGTGACGCAGCAGCCCACAGAGCAGGGTGGGACAGGGAAAGCCTTACACTCCAGCACGAGGCACGGGCGCAGACGCCAGCCCAGCGGCAGACAGAGGACGGCAGGGGGTCGCTGGCAGAGGCAGAGGGCTCCTGAGGATGGGGGTACAGTACCTGGCTGGGTGCCGAGGCAGAGGCGGCGGGGTCCAGCTAACGGCAGCAAGGAAGGAGGAGAGAAAGGAGAGGGGGTGAGAGGCAGAGAGCAGCAGCAGCACCGCCACAGGGCCCAGGCACAGCCCCATGGCACTGCCTGGGCATCAACACAGCCATGGGCAGCCATGCTTGGGCTGCCACAAGGATGCCACCAGCGCGGGCTGCTGGGCATTGCAGCTCCCCATGGGCGGGCACGCTGGTCCAGGCAGCAACCCCAAACCCACTGGCATCCCCCGTCATCCATCCCCTGTTGCCGGTGCCACCCAGAGAGGCACCACGGGGCTGGTGGCCAGGCACAGGAGTACAATAACCCCGTGCAGAGCACACGGCACAGTTGGGGCAGCCACATGCTGCCCACGTGTCCCTGTCCCCGGGCGGGCAGCACGCGAGCACCAACACCCCTGCAATTACAGAAGCAGTGAAGATCCTCTCCAGCCGGCGCTGTGCCTCCTCCGATGGGCTCAGCTGGGATGCGGGGCCGGGGGCATCCTGGAGGCAGAGCACTGTTAGCACCAGGTCAGCCGCCCTGCGGCCCCTGCTGACACCACAGCCCCTGTCAGCCCCGCGCTCATGGCACGCAGGCACCAGAGGGGCTATCGCAGAGGCTTTCCCGGCCCTGCAGCCTGCCGGCGCTTGGGGTGGGTACTGGGGTGAAGGCTGGCGCAGACCCGTGGGTGCCGAGGCCAGCATAGCTGGGGTACTGGCACGTACACCGCAATGCCCAAGGACCTGGGTCCCTGCTCCCACGCACCTGCTGAGGGGGTGCGAGGGCGGTTTTCACAGGGGTCGACCGCTTCTCACTGGACTGCAGCTTCTTCTCCACACAAGCCGGAGAGGAGACAAGGGGTAGTGTGATTGGATGGCCGCAGTGCACACAACTGTCCTGAAAACTGACCCCCACCTGGCACTGCACACCCCAAAACCACTGCAAACCATGCGGGTGAGCTCACACCATGCTGCACCAGGTGGCACAGCCCTGCCGCCATGTTAGAGCATCCCCCACCAAGCACACACCGGTACCTTGTGCCTCTCCAGGGCGGTGGGTTTCGGAGCGGATGCCTTTGCCAGCTCCGCTTTCCCTCCCGAAGGCTGCACTGGTGGCTCCAGCTTGACTTTGGTGCCCGGGGACAGGGACAGCTTTGCGTCCCATCCAGCCGGCTCGGGGGACTTCTCCTTCTGCCTGTCCCCTGGCCGGAGCCGTGGCCGGTGCTCTTTGGTTTTTCCCTTCACCATGAGGGTTTTGAGCCCTGCTGAGATCTCATCTTTGGGCTCTGGCTTGGCTGGGGCTGCCGGCATGGCAGGGGGAGGCGGCACGGTGGGGGGAGGCGGCATGGCAGGACGGCCTGTGTCCTCCTTCCTGGGGGACGGCACTGGCTCGGGAGACTTGGTGTCTTGCCCCAGCTCCTTGGCACTGCCAGCATCCTCCCCCGGCAGGACTTTGCGGACCACCTTGCGCACCACCCGGACCACCCTGCGGCGGGACAGCCCCTGGCCATCGTCCCCTTGTGCCTCGGTGCCCACCGCTGGGCTCTCCAGCCCGTTCACGGCTGCCCCGTTCAGCACCGGCTCCAGACTCTTCCCTCGCCCAGGGGCTGGCGGGAGGCTGTTTGGGGGCTCAGGATTCGGGGGCTCAGGATTCGGGGGTGCAGACGCCGCATCCTTCGGGCTCTCTGACTGCAGCCACAATGACACCAGTGTGAGTGGAGGTCCAGCAGTGCACTGCCTGCCACCACAAGCAACTGCTTCTTGGGACATGGTGGTGTCCGGGGCTTTGTGCCCTGCTGCAGGAGCATGGCTCCCGGCCAGACCCTGGCACCAAGGGACACAGCACCTAGTCCCCTTCCCCAGCCAACCTACAGCCCCCCACCATACCCCAGGGCAGGGAGCAATGGTGACCTCCTCGGCCCTGCATGCAGGGACTCATCGACCCACAGGCTGCTAGTACGGGGGCAAAACTCAGTGCTCAGAGCACCAGTAGCCTCTGCAACGCACAGGGCAAGCCGCAAGATTTCCTCTGCCAAGAGCTTTGACAGGCAGGGCAGGAGCTGGTGCTGTAACCACAGGGTGGACACCGACCCATCGGGGTGTGCAGGGCAGGGACAAGCCCTGGGAAGGCAGTGGAGGAGAGATCGCTGTGCGCAGCCAGGCATCCCTGCTGAAAATACCCGCCACCCTCCACATGCTGCCCTGGCGCGGCCACCAGCGCTGCCCAGGGACCGGGGCGGGTATGGGGGGAGGTTGCTGAGCCCACTACCCTCTGTGATGCCCCCACGCCTGGAGGGCATGAGGTCTGTCCCCACCAAGGGCAAGTCCCATCCCCGACACAGCTCCACCCTGCCCGTGCCCTGCGACACTTACAGCCCCGTCCTCCTTCCCGGGTCTTTTCACAGCTAAGGATTTGTCCTCGTCCTTGACCTGAGGGTCAGACAAACAAGAGGAGCGCATTTCAGCCCACCGCAGGGCCTTGCTGCCAGAAAAGCCACAGGGACTGGGAAAAACCACTGGGACCATCACTCCATGCCGGGGGGCAGGAGGCTGCTGGACGAAACAACCCCCATTTGTAGCCTGTTGCAGCCCCAGGGATGAGGTCATGTGTCCTTCCAGGCTTCCCAGCAGCCAAAAAAGTGGGAGAAAGCACAGGGATGTGCCCCAGTTATGGCAAACCCCAAAGGTGGGAGAGGAAAGTGCTCTGCCCGCCTGGCCCAGGCCCGCTCCTTGCATGCAGCTGGTGAGCGAGCTGGTATATAGAGCCCCGTTGCCACTCCCCACGGGGGCTCTGCATTTCTGCACGTCACCCCGCCGAGCGTCACAGCACGTTTTAAGTGTCACCACCTAATCTCTGCGGCAGCCACACAGTGGGATGTGCCAGCTCAGTGCCGAGTGGGGCAACCAGGAGTCTCTGGGGTGGGTGGGCAGCCAAACCCTCCCCTGCCCTGGGCCATGCCTCTGAGCTCTAGGGCTCAGCCGTGGCACCACAGCGGCAGCGCGTGGTGCACCCCGTGGGCAATGCTCCCCGACTCGCCATCACACAGCTCCTGCAAGCGCTCGGGGCTGGACGGCGGCACCAAGGTGGCTCACACTGTGTTAGGGGCTGCACCAGCCACTTGCAAAGCGGTCCTTAGGGATGGCGTTAGTAACTGCATGCATGGCTGCATTGGTGACCACAGCCATGCTGCGGTGGGGCGTGGGGCAGCTCCCCATTTGCTCAGCGTGGCCCCCAGCATAGCAGTGCAGCGAGAGGCTGGGAGCACCGCTCTGAACATGGTGCTGGCACTGGGCAAACTGGGGGAGTTGGTCGGCAGCGTGTGGCAGCATGACCCGAATGTGGGGTGCGGGCAAACGCGTGAGAGACTTCCCTTCTGCTCCCAAAATGCAAACCGGGATGAAAACGCCATGGTGATGTCTCATGGAGCCGCAGCCCTGGCTGGGGAGAGAGGGAGAGGTGAGACAGGTCGGAGCTGGCATGCAGGGCGCTGAACTATGGCACAGTGTACAAGCACGTGCCCTTCCCTGCCAGCCCTGGGAGCCCAGGACGCTCAGGGATGGGAGTCTGAGCCCACCTGGCCCTGCTCAGCATACAAACAGGCACTGCCTATAGGAAGGGCTCTGCGGACAGGCAGGTGGCCGGGCTGAGACCTAACAAAACTCATTGTGCAAAAAAAGCCCCTTTAGTCAGGCCACAGGACCGTGCCCCAGCTTCCCCCCTGGGCGGGCCAGCCCACTGAGGTAAGCAAATGCCAGGGTGAGGGAAGGGATATTTTCTGCCCCAGGCACCCTGCTTGCCCTGATAGCCAGGGTTTATTCTGAGCCTGACACTGTGCCAGTGGCTGGGCAGCCCCAGCAGGACACACTGCCCCGGCCGGTGCTGTGCTCCAAACCCCAGGGGGGGTCGCACCTGGGGCTGTCAGGGAGAACTCCCCCTCCTAGGGCTGGGCATGGCATAGAGGAGCACCCAGCCACTGAACCAACCTGCCTGTTAGGGGGCACGTCACCCTGTCCCCAGGGGGTTCCCTGTCCCCCCCAATCACCACAGCATGAAATGGTGGTGCCTGGAGCACAGGCTGGGCAGGGAGGTCCTGAGACGAACCTGCCCACGGGTCAGAGCCCCCAAACCCTCTGCCCACAGCGCTCCCACCTCCACACAGCCTGGCACCGCCTCAAAGGTCCCTGGAGAGCACTGGTGTCAGGGTCCCCCAGGGGGGCTACAAGAAACGCCTCTGGCTGCCAAAGCACCCCAGGGGTGAGTGCAGCCTTGCAGCCCCTGACCCTGGTGCTGGGACTGGCTCCCACGTGCCCCCCTCATGCTCCCCCGTGCCGTGCCGGTCCCCACCTTACCACAAGGTCGGGGTGAGCCAGGAGCAGGGTTTCTGCCGGGGCGAGCGGGATGCAGTGTGGTGGAAGAGGCGCACAGGGCAGCAGCCGGCGGCGCGGGGACAGCTGGGCCGATAGGGCCACCCTAAAAATAGCCGAGGAATGCGAGGGCCCCACCGGCGCGCGCAGCAGCCGGAGGGAGTGCTGGGGGGGGACATGCGGGCAGCAGGGCCTTGCCGTCACCACCACTGCCGCCGCCGCCGCTGGAGGAAGTGATGTGGGCTTGTGGCAGCCCAGCACCGCAGGGGGAACTGCCTGGCCTCTGTTCCACCACCCGCCCTGGAGGGAGCACGGAAAGACACCCCCAGGCTGAGCGCAGCTGGGGCACTGGGGTAAGCCAGGGAGGGTCCTGCGCCGCGAGGAACAAGGTTGCACACTCCTGCACCCCGGGGTCCTGCGGCGGGGTGCCTGGTGTTGGAGCAGGGTGCCCAGTGTCAGAGTTGGGTGTCCAGCATCATGCCAGGTGGTGCAGCCCCAACACCACTTGCTCCTCCCTTTGCTTTCCCATTAACACAACAGTCCCCCAAAATGCTCCCAGGGACGGACAGCCCCCTGCCCTGAGGCGAGGGCCAGCACCACGGAAGCGTGCCAGCCCAGCAGCCCCCTGGCATGGTGTGGCAGCCCACGGTAAAGCCACTTTCATGGCAAAGCTGCCTCTGGAGGTTCAAGGTCTCCCTGGAAACAGCAGGAGCGAGGCGGCAGGCAAGGGGCTGGGGGCCTCCCTGCGCAGGGCCTGCCGGGAGGAGGCCGGTGGCAGGGAGCCAGGCACGCCAGCGGTGTGAAGGAGAGGCGGCGACTGCCCAGCATGGTAGGGACCCCAGCCGGTGCCTGAGCATGTCCCTGCCTGACGCCGGGGACGCAGATGTGTCCCGAGCTAGAATCCACTCCCAGAAAGAGCAGTGGGTCCCGGCCTCACCAGGAAGGCTGTGTTGATGGCAGGCTGGAAATGCCCATGCTGGGAATCCTAGCACTGGGTCACATCCCTCCCAGCCCACACTAATGCCAGGTTTTGCAGCACTGCCCCAGGGCTGACACCACACGGCAGCTCCAGCCCCTCTCTGCACCAGGCACGCACTGGGGAGAGGCCACAGTAAACACCCTTGGCAGGACTGGCACAACACAGTGGAGGGTGCCCATGGTGTCCCCAGGTAGCGCTGGCGGCAGCCACTGGGTTATTTGCAAAAAGTTGAAGTCACGTCCCCTGACAACAGGAACAAGAGGCTTTGGTGAGGGCACTGGCTGAGTCCCAGCATGCAGAGCCACTGCAGCCCCCTTCACGGTGAGCCAAACCCACACAGACCCGGGTGATGCAACATGGTCCTGCCTTCCCAAGGGGGTCCTGAGCATCCCCGAGGTAGGGCACAGAGCCACCTGCCAGGGAGGAGCCCAGCTCCCATGGGCCATCTCTACCGGGACCCCCAGCCTGGCCAGGCAGCAGTGTTTCTGCCTGGCCAGCAGATTCTTCTCGTTCCTCCACCAGGAACTTTGGCGGAGATGCACCGACCCCACGGATAAGCCTGCTGGACACAAGCCCCCTCACCAGGGCCCCTGAGGTACACCCAGGCCAGGGATGCCCCAGCAGCACCATCCCTACAGTGAGGGCAGAGAAAGAGCCAACCCAAGAGCTTCCCCTGGAGGAAGTATAGACAAAAGGAGAAAGTGCCTCTGGCAACAATGGGAGTCCTGCAGCCCACACCCCTCCGCCTCCGCACAGAGTCCCCTGGTGGGACATGGGGCAAAGAGCTGGCACCCAGCCACACCGTGGCACAGTGGCCTTGCACCCTGGGGACAGCGACCTCCGGAGACCAGGGCGCCAGTGGCTGGCGGGTGAGCATGGCACGCAGGGTCTGCCAGCATGGCCGCCAAATGTCTGCAGTCCCGCCGAAGCGCTGGAGTGGTCAGTGGCGTTTCTGGAATATTTCTACCCAGCCGGCGCATGCCTGGGCCCTGCCAGAGGAATTTCTCCGGTAAATAAATAAATACAAGCGCGGGGCCGAGCCAGCCCAGCTGCCCCGCGCCGGGAGCAAAGCTGGGACATGGGGCGGTGGTTTCACCCAGTCCCGGATGCCCAGTCACACCGTGCCACCGGCCAGCGCCCCATGCACCCCACAGCACCGAGAGCCCCCCCTAGACATGGCAGGTGCTGCCCCTGCCAGGTTCTGGTGTGGGTCCATGGGGATGAAGGCAGCTCAGCACAGCCCCTGCCGAGGGGGTTAAACCCCACGCGGTACAGAGGGAGCCTGACACCATACCCACTCCAGCCAGGGAGGGGCTTCCAGAGCAACAGCCCAAAATATGTCTATAATTTCCTGTTTCAAAAAGGATCATTTTTATTTAAATTAGGACCAGAAACATTCCAGGGAGCTTAGCGGGGCCTGCAGGAGAGCCGGGCCTCCCTGTGTGCCGGCACCTTGCACGGCCCCACTGGGTGAGGGACCCCTCACCGCACCCTGCACTGCACCCTCGGCTCCCCAGCACCGACAAAGCTGTGGTGCATCCCCTGGTGGATCCCTGCACCACATGGGAAAGGGACAGCATCTTGCGTCGGGGGTGCCCATGCTGTGATGGCACCCAAAGATGCCACAAGACACGGTCACTGCCACCCCTCTGGACGGTTTCCTCTGGCTGATGCCATCTAACTGTGCCAGGACCTGGCACAAGGCCGTATGCTGCAGCCTCTCCCCACCAGCCCCAAGGGCACTGGCATCTCCTCTTACCCCTTCCCAGCCGCGGCACCACACTCTTGGCCGGCACAAGCACCTCACCAGCCCCTGCACGCTGGCATCGAACATGCACCAGCTCCCATGCCGGCGCACTGCAGCAAGGGTGGCAGCCATGCCCCCCAGTACTGTGGGGTTATCCAGCCAGGGGTTATCCTGGCGGCACAGCAAGCATTGCCTGGTGATGCCTGCCAGGCTCCAGGGAGGGGCTGCCAGAAAGCCGGTGCTCCAGCTCGGCGCAGACTCCACCCCGCAGCGTCGGTGCTTGCTCAGGGAGCACATGGAGCCCCACGGCCACCGTCACGGTATCCCTGCACCATGGCCACCCTTGCTTCGTCCCAGCCACCACCCTACAGGGACGGGGCCCCGCCATGCTCAGCATGGCTCTCCCTGGTGCAGGCAACCTGCTCTGGGGGCACAGGCAGCCTCTCCCTAAGGCAGGCTTAAAAATACACTAAACAAGCCTGGTTATAAGCTAAACCAATGCTGTGCTGCTGCACTCCCCTGCCACCATGAAAGGTGTCCAGCCCTGCAAGCTGTCAGCATTTTGGGGCCTCTGCCAGGACACCGGCCGGTCAGGACTCTGGTTAGCCCGCAGCAGGGTCAGCAGAGCTAGGCTGCTCATGCGGGAGATATGGGTCACCCAGCCATTAACTTTCTATTTATACAGCACCAGCCACACACACAGAGCTGCACACACTGTTGGCAGCCCCTGTCCCCTGACACACCACGCTGCCCTCCCTGGTCCCCGGAGAGGGATCACATCATGAGCAGGCTGATATGGGCAGTGGGGCAGGCAGCAGGGCAGGCAGTGCCCCTGCTGCAAAGCAGCGTTAGGGATTTCCTGGCAGGAAGGAGCAAAGCTCCTTTCCCTGCCAGACTGTGCTGCCTTGGTGATGGGACAGGGACGGACTTCCCCCAGGTGACACAGAGCTGGGCTCTCCCGAAGCCCCTCTGGCAGGAGGAAGACCAAACCCAGCAGCACACTGAGCATTTTGGGGGGAAAAACCCACCAGCCCTGGTTCATAAGCCCTGATACAAATGCATCCTTGCAGCCACTCTGCCGCCCTGGAGCACAGGCAGGCATCACCCCTGCATCCCAGCCACAACTTCCCGCTCCTCCCCGTGCATTGCTCTTGGTCAGAGCAGCCGCGGCACCCAGTGGTTCCCACAGCCCCTGTCAACCCAAACACCCGCCACGAGGACGCTGGTGGCCAGCAGAAACCCAAGGCACCGGCCCTGCAGTGGGGACAGTGTTACTCACATCCCAGGCAGCGCGGCACGTCCCCTGGCCACCCCGCAGCCAGCAGCGGCTCAGCTCGCTCAGCTCCAGGATGGGCTGCACCTTCAGCTGCACTGTCTCCCCTGACTGCCGGATCATCTCCACAATCTCATCCCGGGATTTGCTCTCCACATTTTGCCCGTTGATCTCCACCAGCCGGTCACCCGGCACCAACCCCAACGCCAAGTCTTTGGTGCCAGCTCCGGGTTCAGCAAAGTGCACAACACGACGGTACACCTGCCCATCAGGCGCCCGGTCCAGCATGGTGGTGCGGCGTAGGGAGAAGCCGAAATCGCCAGTGTTGCGCCTCTGCAGCTCCAGCTGCCGTGGCGTGGGGGGCTGTGGGGGCACCAAGGCAGGCAGCCGCAGCTCAGCAGGGAACCTCTTGCCAACAAGCTCTGGCACCCTGGCACGCAGGGAGGCGGTGGGAGGGGTGCAGGGGTGTCCTGGGGGGACCCCTTGCTTGGCGAGCTGGGTCTCCAGCATGCGCACCTCCACCTGCGGGGAGGGGGCCGCGGAGTGCTCGGAGGGGGTAGACGTCTCTGAGGTGCTCTCGTCCCGGCTCTTCTGGGAGAAGGAAAAGCGTTTGACGATCATCTGGGAGTTCTGCTTGGCCAACGAGCCAAACTTGGCCGCCCGCTGCAGCACCGAGCCCTTGAAGTTGGCATCATCCACCTTGAGATCATCACTGGAGCTGGCCGTGCTCAAGTGGCCTGAGTCCAAGATGACGCTGCCCCGGTTGCTGTCAGAGTCAATGTCCGTGAGATGCAGGTCAGAGCCACTGGCCACCTTGATGGGGATGGGGTTGGAGATCTCCAGGCGGGTCTTGGAGTCCCGCTTGGAGGCACGGTTGAGGTTGAAGAAGCCCCGGCGCATGCTCATCTCCTCCAGGCTCTTGAGCTCAGCCGCCGACATCCGCTCCTTCTTCTCCTTCTTTTCCTTCTTCTCCTTTCGGGCCCCATCCTTCTCTTTGTCCTTCTTCATCAGGTTGAACATGGTGGAGGGGGGCTTGGGGCACACTTGCCCCCGTGGCAGGGTGCTGGTCACGGCACGGCCACCTGCCTACAGAAGGACAGACAGGCAAGGGTGCCATCAGACAGCTGTACAGCCAACACCCACCCCACCGCCCCTCACTCCTACAGGTCACCCCCAGCTCCAAGCCATGTCTCAGCATCCCTACCCTCCCTGGGGACAGCAGCACCACAGGGTTCTGAGACTGCCCCAGTCATTGTGTCCTTGCCCTGGCTGGACAGCAAGGGTGGCCCTGAAAGAAGCCCAGCAGCCTAGCACTGTGGTGCACCCCCATACCAGCACGGGGGCTGACTGTGGGCAAGACCCCCAGCACCTCCCACAGCTCGGGAGCCGTTTTGGAGTAGCACAGGCAGGTAGGGGAGGAAGGCATCCTGGTTGCATTTGCAGTGGTTACCACCAGCGTCGATGCTCCCCCAGCTAAAAAACTGCCCATCCCTGTCAGCTGCAGCACCACAGGTGTCCCACCCGCTGGTTCAAAAGCCCCTTGTTGAAGAAACAGAAGCCTCTCTGCCGCTTGTCCCGGCCCTGACCACCGCAAAGCCACAGGGGACAGCCACAGGCAGTGTCCCCACCAGGGAGGGAGCTGGAAACATGGCCCTAAGTGAAGGCTGCTCTAATAAACAGGAACCTGTAAAATCACATCCCTCCCAAACACTGATAAGTGTCTAATTATAGCCAGGGTGACGCAGAAACTCGTGACGCTGTCGGTGACCTCCAGGAACAGTCACTCTTTCATTCGGGCATCCCGCGCAGTGGGGGGAGCACCCAGCCAGCGGCAAAACCACGGCCAGGCAGAAACCCCATCCCTCCCTGGAACGCCCCATGTGCACCCACAGCCTCGCCCCGCATGGGGCTGCTATGGGACCCATCTGACCCCGGGGCAGCCGGTGCCCACCAGCCCACCCCCCACCCCGACCTCCACTGAGTGCTCAGGCTGCAGATAAACAACTCCAAACTGGAGCAGCCGGCTGGCAGCACTGCATGGGACAGGCTGACAGCTATATATAACGGGGCAGGAAGCTGCACAGGAACTTAACGTCAGCACAAAGGACAACAGGAAAACTTCCCGCTTTCGAAGCATCTGCTTTAGAGCTCTTCGATGGGCACGGGGATGAGGTTTGGGGAACCCATGCGGACGGGCAACGCTGCCCATGCTGGCAGTGCAGGCTCCCTGGGATGCATGGATGCCATGCCATGCTGTGCTGTCATGCCGTGCCAAGCTGCACCTTGGCTCCAGCGCAGCATTGGTGCTGCATCACCACCATGGCCTGGGCCACCTCCCTATGGGGACATGTGGTCCCCACTGCCCCTGAAGGCACCCTTGCCAAGGCCTCCCCCCTGGCAAAGCCAGATGGGTTCAGGGGATGGCAGGGGACTGCCCAAACCCCACCATCCCTCGGGGCCGGGGTGGGAGCACACATGTGTCCAGGAGAGGCCCGGCCACAGGGAAGGAGGGCAGGGCTCTGCAAGCCGCGGTATGGTGCTGGCCCCGGGCACATGATACAGCCAAGGCAGTGAGGGGAAGCAGTTGAAGGGACAAGGTCAGGCACGCAGCACAGCCGGGCAGCTGCATTTGCTGGCTCCAAGCCTCCTGCCCACGGCCAGAGGGGCTGCCATGGCTCTGCCCACACCACTCAGCCCCGGAGCTCTGCCTGTTCTGCCTTCCGCTGCAGCACCCAGGGCTTTGCTTACATCCACAGCCAGGACCTGGGCTGGCAGGACCCCAAAACACGTGAAAACAAGCTTGCTCCTTTCTCCTCTCCCAGAAATGCTGGCTGTGGGGTGACTGCTGACCTGAGCCTGGGGACGGTGTGGCTTCTTCCCCTGACCCGCAGCAGATGCTGCCGGCAAAGAGCCCCGTGGCCATGCCACTGCAGGGGCTGTTCTCTACCAGCTCCTCCACAGTGGTGTCGGGGCCTCAGCTCAGACAATGGCAGGGAGGGAACCACCTGCACCTGTCCCCCTGACATGACATGTGCCACCGGTACCCCCAGCTGCCTGGGCATCCCCAAAGCAGTGCTGCCAGGAGGATGCAGAAAGGGCTACACCCCCGGGAGCACCCTGTGCTCACCCCATGGCAGGGAGGGGGCTGCTGGGACCCCGTCTTGAGTCCAGGCAGGGGACCCTTGGGAGCAGAGCGACTTGCCAGGCAGGTGCCGGTTAGAGCCAAGGCACTGGGAGGCAGGCGGGGTGTGCTCTTTGTCCTCTGTGGCTTCTCTCTCCAGCACACACACTCCCTCCCGGCCTTTGTACGCTCAACAAAAAGGGGGAACAAGCGTTACCATCTGCTAATCAGGCAGAGCCGGCAGCCAGCAGCCTGGCCACGTGTGCCCCACACAAGGCCACCACTGGCAGCAGCGGAGCAGGGGAGATGGGAGTTTCTTGGGCTGGGGCAAAGACCCCAGGCATCCCCCCTGCACCAGCATCTCCGGCCCATGTGAGATGCCATTGCAGTTTGCTCCCTTTTCCCCTGCCAGCAGCATGCATGCACCAGGGATGCCAGATGGGTACAGCCCAATGCTGTGAGCAGGAGGCAGCTGCTGAGCGTCTCCTTGCTCCTGAATCAGACTCAACGTGCCTTCCCTGACTCAGCCTGGGCTCACTCTGGGATTACCCATTGCCAGGCGTGTTTGGGGCAGCAGTGTGCATGAGCCATGACAGGGGAGGGAGAGGCACCCGTGGGCGCTGGCTGTGCCCAGGGATTGCACGTGAGGACACTGCTGTGACACCTGGGCTGGCAGGGGACAGCAGATGTCACCCTGGAAGGGCTGGGTGGCAGAAAGGGAGACCCAGCTCAAGGCCCCCAAACCCAAAAACCCTCCCTGAGCCCCCTGAGCAGGAACGAGGAGGATGCAACTTCCCCCTCCTCCCGCCCCCATGGCCATGAGCCCCCATGTCCCTGCCAGGGCACCAGGGAGTTTCAGGCGGCGACGAAGGCGTTCACTGAAACTCTGGGCCACTCCTTCCCTTCCCAAGACGCAATCTCGTCCAACATGCTCCCTGCGCAGGGACCTGCAGTGCAAGTTTCCCAGTCACCTGCTCTCCCCACTCTGCACCCCGCCATGATGCCAGCAGTAGGGCTGCACTCGCCCACCGCTTCGGCACAGGAGCTGGCAGCTGTCGCCTCCTTGGGCACACCATGTTGAGGCACCCCACACCCCATCGTCCCCGGCCAGGCAGGGACGATGCCATGCCAGGGAGCGGATGCTGCCGGCAGCAATGCCGAGCAGCCAGCCCAGCTCCCACACAGGGCAAAGGGGGTTGACCTGTGCGATGGCTCCTCGCCTCCTTGCCGGACACAAGTTTTCCACAGAACAAGGAAATTTAGGGGGTTTCCAAATCCCTCTGCACTGCCTGCCCTTATGGACAATGCTGGGATGCATCAAGAGGAAAACAATCCCAGATTTACCCGAGTCACAGCCGGGATGTGCTGCCAGGCTGTCTCCAAAGCAGGATTTTGGGTCCTCCTATCGTGGGAACCCTGTGTCCAGCAGCAAAGGGGACCCAGCCTGGCTTTGAAGTGTCACCCCGGGCTGGTGGTGGAGGCCAGGAGGATGCATGGGGTGCGTGCGTGGGGTGCAGGCATCTGCCTCACCCCAAAGCCAGGCAATAAAACAGCCTGAGAGTCCTTACAAAACAGAGGTGGCAGGGTGGTGATCGCTGCCAGGCTCTGCTGGGTGGGAGTGAAAGAAGGAGACAGTTTAGCAACCAGCTGGGGGGAAGACAGGTGGGTTGCAGCCCTGTTGCCATTGGGCACACGCCTCCCTCACTGCCTGTTTCTTGCCTCAAATTTGCAGCCTGACCCCCCATATTGCCCAGCCCACAGCAAAGGTGAAGGGCTGAGCCACAGCTCGTCAGTGGGCAAAGTTCAGGGCCGGCGCAGGCACTGCAGAAACACTCGGCTCCTGACAAGGGATGGGGCAGTAAGAGCTACCGGGTGGGGGTCCCCCACTGCTGGGGTGCCACGGCCAGCCTGGGGTGTGGGAACACCAGCTGCCACGTGCCCTTGCACACCCACTGTGGGCCCACACTTTTCTGTAATTGCCCTAAGTTTAGCTCCACTGCTTGTTGACCGAACGATTTGCATCTCACAGGCCGGCTGGAAACCACACTATTTCTGGACACGCGTCCCAGCCCTCACCCGCCACTCTATATATTCCTCCCTGGGCAAATTAATGTGCAGGCAGGCGCCACGGCGGCCACAGGCCCTGCGAGCCCCCGCCGCCCCCAGCGCCACAGCTTGCTGCAAGGCCACCCACCCGCCTTGCGTCACCCCAAAAAGGTACCCAGGTGCCAGTGCTGCTGGCCCTGGCAGCGATGCAGTTAACAGTGAGCCAGGCTAATGGCTTTGGATGCAATTCCCCAGTGGTGCAGGAAAGGCCCAGGCCAGCCACTTCTCCCTGGAAGTGAGGCCGGCCCTGAGGAGCCCCACACCCACGTCTGGGGCACCCAACATGGGGCACCCTGCAGGGACAGGCTATGTATGCCCACCCTAGGGGCACAGCTGTCCCCACAGCACCCACAGCTGCCCCCAGCGGGGTGCACACACTTCCAGGACCCCACAGCGTGTGGTAAACACACAGGTGCTGCAATGCAACGGGGGGGGGGCCCGCACAAACAGACCCCGCAGCTCAACTGGGGGCATGCACAAGGTGACACAATGGGGGCCGCTGCACACACACACTGCGAGACACCGGAGGATGGACAAGCACGGGCGCTGCAAGACAAGAGCAGGCCATGCGCATACACACACTCCGCAACAGCACCGGGGGGGGACGCACGCACACCCCCCCACACACCACGGCTGTGCAACGCCGCGGGAGCACGGGCACGGGCACACGCACGGCCCGGCCCGGCCGGGGTGGCGATGCAGACACAGGCGGTGCGTGCCCCTGCCCCTGCTCCGAGGCCTGTACCGGTGGCGATGGGGGCGCGGCAGGTACTCACCCGGCGGCGGCGGAGCG